AAAAATCACATTTTCTTTGTGTTCTGATTAAAGTCTTGACTACTTACTGTGTCACTGTTTTCTGGAATACAAAAACTAGGGATAAAATTCCACTTTATATAAAACCTATTCTATTAATCAAGATACTACATTAATTTATTCCTTTTTCAAGACAACATATTCAGTGATATAATTTTTTTACATATAGCTAAAATTTGGCTACTTTCTAACTCATAGATACAAATTCAATGCTGACTATTAAACTTGCTTCATTACTGGATATGCATTTAATGCTTTATTTTTTGTTTGTTGTAGGCAAAAAGCTACACAATGGGCCATCTGTGCTGTGCCCACAACAGGTATCAGAACCCATTTTTAGTGTTACAAGCCTTCAGACTTAGTGCTGAGCCACTGGGGGCTGCACTTAATGCAACCTACAATAAAACGAAGCAAGTTTAAGTATTATTTCAACTCAACCTTATGTTGTGTGAAAGCAATATTTCAAAATCTCTATTTGTAATTCAACCATAATTAACTACTACAAATACAAATAATATTAATAATGATCAAATAAGACAAAAACAAGACAAATGTAGGTAAGCAATTTAATAATTAATATTCAATTAAACATTACATACTGTCAACAAACTATCCTAGTAAAAAATACAGTTCCATTATTAAAACAAAAAAAAATGCTTAAAAATTGAAATCATACATAATTATATAATGTGGATCAACATTTTTCATTCTCAATTTCTTTCTTAGAAAAATGACAAAACATTCATTGCCCAAAAAACTTTCTACTTATCCTCCTGAAAGTTAGTCTACTTTCTCTAACTGGGAAAACACCAAAGCTCGACTCTAATGTGTTCAATGGGTTATAAAAACAAATAATCTAAATAGATAAATATGTAATTGAATACTTTGTACTGAAAATAAATATGATAAAAATACTCAGCTTCAGTCCCCTTGATTATGTTTTCACGATTAATAAATACTGTCTGAATAGAGTGAAATGTGGCAGTTAAGGTATAATGTAGGAAAATAAAGTAAGCATACAAGACAACAAGTTTCAAAAACAAAATTTTATATTGAACAGATAATGGTGAAACATGTATATTAAAGGAGAGACTATTGAGGACTTTGTTGTGTGGATTACCAATGATTTAAAAAAGAAAGACAATAAAGTAACAAGCAATTTGGAGCTATTAAGTGCAAAAAAATAATTTTAGAACATTTAAAAAGAGTATCTTCCACATAATATACATAGATCTTACGTTAGAGCTTGTGAGGAGTATGCAGTGCTTATGTGGCCACTATTATTTGAATACCACATTATTAGAAAAGGTTCAAGAAAGAACTACCAAACAGCTAGATGGTACAATGAACAAGGAATACAATATTAGAAGGAAAAACACTTAAGTTAATAAGTTTGAGAGAGAGAGAGAGGAGATTAAGGGGACATTTAATTGAAACATACAAAATATTAACAAGTGGATATATATATATATACTATGAACTGTTTTTGAATTTAATAAATAAAAAAAAAAGAGACTAAGATTGGAAAAAAAAAGCTTTTCAGCCCAACATTGACTGCTGTATGGAATGGTCTGTCTAAACACATAGTGCAGTTGGATTCTGTATAGAGATTTAAGAGACATCTGGATCAAGCTGAGAGAAGATAAGAGCAGCCTACTTTTGAGAAGGAAGCAGGCAACATTAAAGCAGAACAAAAGGCCATCCAACTGATAACTGAGTATTAGTAAAAATAACACAAACTTCCTATTGTTATATTTTAATTTGAATTCAAACTGGATTTAGAGCTATACATGTTACTAAAAATCCAATTGTTGTTCAGAAAACACAAAGAATGGTAAAATAAAGGTTATTTGTTCATTCTGTGTTTTTTTTTGTAAATAAAAAGGGCAAAATTAGAAGCATTTTGGAATAAATGAAACATGATCCACACCAGGAGGTACTTTATGGTAAAGACTTGACAAAGAAGTTAATAATACATATACAAATAGCAAGGTAATACAACATAATACAACTTTATTGGCCAAGAATCATAACACATCTAATTTGTTACTTGTTCACCTATGTGCAACATGTTCCAACAAAAACCTAGTTGCCATGGGAATTTAGTTGATATGTTACTGTTTATAATTTTAGAAAAAATTCTACATTCTTCTAAACTAAAAAATATAAAATCAGATCAACAGTCACTGATCTGATTTCCAAGAAATAGAGGGAAATGTCTTAATATCCTTTCACACAGCAGGACTTTAAATTTTGGCTTCACCACTTTAAAACCTTTGGGCTTTCAGTGTATATGATTCAACTTTAGCTTTATGTATAATAAAAAATTAGTCCAACTGTTGTAATTTAATAATAATTCTTTTCTGTAAATCTTACTAAATAATCTAAAATGATTTAAACAAAATATTGCTAGTTTCTTTTATTTTAAAAAAAAAATTGTAATATTTTAAGAATAAACTGTACAGAGATGAAAGATTGAAAACTTGTATTAAATTCTGTGAAGGAAGTACATATAAAAATAAATTCTTTATAGACATAAAAAACACATACAAAAAGTTAAGAGCAAAAACACCTGTAAAAACAATAACAACCACATGTCACTAAACACTATGAACTACAAACAATTTCAGTTAAGATATTTACAATATATAGGAAACTGTCAATCAATTAATACCTTATATTTTACACTGCAGTGTAAGGAAATTGGAAACATGTTAGTTCTGATGTTTAAGAATGAAGTCCTAACTTACTTTTGGCTAGATCAACAAATAATTCTTCAATACCTCTGTTCAGCTTTGCAGATGTCAGAAAATGCTTAGCTCCAACTGAAGTAGCATATCTAAAATTCATTCATAAAATATTTTTTTTTTTGTGATGGAGGAAATACATTTCAACTGCATCAACATATAATTTTTATTTGAATCTTTAATAAAATAATGTTAAATCATAGACAACACAAGGGAAGTTTAACTTTTATAAGGTTAAACAGACAAAAAAAGAATGAGAAAATTAGTGTCATAAAATGAAATATTTGTTGCTTTTATTCCCCAAATTCTAATAACAAAAAGAAGAAAATTAAATGTTACATCTTTAGAATCAAAATAAGTTTCAAGCAGGTAGTTACTTCTGAGAAAGTTAAAGCCTTTTCTTGTTGATTTTGAACTCATGCTATCAACAAAACATGTGACTAAAAATTTCAGAATGCCATTTACACATTTCAAAGCATGCCTCATTTGTCCTTAATTCTCTACCCTGTCATGTGATTTGTTGGGTAAGCATCAAGGGACCTTACATAAGCTTTGCTTTCTCACTATGATTTAGGTTTTAATAAAAGTTGTGGTCGTGATGAAAATTTGTTTGTGGGGATGTGGGAGAGAAAGTATTTCAGAGGCAAGTTCTGCCCAGGGTGCGTATTTTACATGGAAAATTTTAATTTCACACATCAGAATTTTCCAAGTGCATGACTGTCACTCACAGATAAATGGGAATGCTTTTCTAAATGTTCTCACTATAAATAAAACACTTTCAGTTGTAAGTTGCAATGTTTTGATTGCCTTGGCTTTAACAGGTAGCTTAATAGTGTTTTTGTGTAGCCTGGTACCCTGTCACACAATACCACTGTGCTACGTAACTATCATTAGCCATGACTATACAAACAAGGTGAACCAGGCTATTTGCTGTCTTGTGTTATCTCGTTTCAAACAGAAAGCATCAAAATGGCAACAGAAGCTAAGAAAAAGAAAATCACAGACTTTTTTGGATGGGATAATGGTGTTTGTTAGTGCCAGCCTACCAATAATGATGATACAGCCATCGCCATTTTCAATGATGATCATAATAATCATGAAAAAGCAACAATCGAGAAGAAAAACACAGTAAGTTCAGACAAGAATGGCTATCGAAGCCAAGATACAAATCATGGTTAATATATGATTCTACAAGTAAGACAACGAAATGCTCTCTATGTTTAAAACATTCCAAAATAAATTTGTTTATATTTGGCATGTCAAATTTCCAAAACTCCACTCTGAATAGGCATCTTGCTTCAGAGGATCATCAGAATGCCATTACAAAATCTGAAAATGAAGGTGTTATGAAGTTGCATATTTTATAAGCAATATCTAAAAAGGAGAATGCTTTGATATCAGGATTTAAAATTGTCCATTTCATGGTTAAAAAAGACATAGCAATTCATCAATATAAAGACTTTGCTGATTTCCTCATATTTCAAGGTTGTGCTGACATTTCTGAACTAAACAGTGGAAACAATGCCGTGTATAATTCTGATAAAATTGCTATGTAGGTGATAGAAAGTGTGGCAGATGTGGTGCGTGAAAACATACAAATAAAAATTGACTCGTTATCATTTGTTACATTTCTAACTGATGAAAGCACAAACATAACCATTATGAAAAAAAACTTGTTTATCTGAGGGTAGTTGATTGTAAAACCATGACTCCTGAAACTCTGTTTATGTGCAATGTCCACATAGATGATGGCCATGCAGAAATAGTCTTCAATGAGCTCGAAAAGGTCAGGAAAAATTCTGGAATTGAAAGAGCTAGGTATATTGGACTAGATTCCGATGGAGCAACAGTGATGACATGTATGAAAAATGGAGTGAAAGGGAGAATGAGCAGGGATGTGAATCCATTCTTACAAAATGTACATTACAAATTAGTCGTGTACTTCACAGGCCGCAGAGAAAGCGAGTTACCTTCAAAAATATCAAACAACTATGGGTAATTTGTTTCATTATTTCAAAGGAAGCTTTTCTTGTTGTTGTGCTGCAAAGTTTCAAAAAATTTAGAAATTTTGGATTCTCCAATGATCACTGTTAGGTGGTTCAGTTTCTACTCAGCATTGGAAGTTGTCCACAGGACTTGGGATGCTCTGTGTTCAACTTTGGAGCAACAGGTGATTACTCAATTTATGACAAGAAGTGTTTCTTGATTTGCAATAAATATATAAAAAAAAACTTTAAGTTGCAATAGATACAATTATTTATAAGAATTTGTTTAATAATATATAACTTAAATTTTATTCTTACACTCAACTGCAATTTACACATGTACAAATCTGTTCATAAGTGTTTAATTTATATTTTAGAATGATGGAACTGCACGAGGCATCCTCAAAGATTTAAAGTCTGTCCATTTCATTGGCACTGGTTTTATGTTGATGGTCATCATTCCAATGATGACAAAGCTGAACCTTATCTTTCAGAAGCAGGATTTAGATCCCATGATTGTTAAGCCAGCCCTGCAAGCATCAAAGTCAGAACTTTGGAGGCTATCTCAAGAAAATGGCCCAAATCTAACTGAATTTTTCAAGGTATCTTTTACATATAATCTTCTACAAACTATAAAGTAAAAAAAAAATACTGAAATAATTTATTAATAAAATAGTCAAAGTATAAGCAACAGATAATGGCTGGAGACGGCTTGAATGGGTAATGAAGAAAAACTTTAATATAAGTTTAACATAACAGCAAATGT